GGCTTTTTCTGTCAAGTGGGTCAACAAAAGGTTAAATATTGGCTGCAAACTAGTGACAGAAACCAGAAAAGTTCAAGCCTGGAGTCACACCTGTGTTCAACCAAAGGCTGATTCTCTCCTTTGATTTTGTATTCTTATTTACCTTAGGAATAAGACAACTGCACTTAAAATCAACCTTACTCTTGGGAATAAAACTTAGCGTAATAATAATCACATGTCCCTCTTTGCCCGGGACAGCATCGGTTTATGCTGTAGTTCCGGTGTCTCTGTTCACTATGCCTCCCCTTCACTCTCAAAGTGTGCTGGTTTGATGAAGAATTATATAGTCACCATAGAGCTTAGGTACCGAATTAGGTCTACAATAGTTTCCTGATTTATCCTCCCCTCACTGAGACATAGTTTTTTAAGCCACAACTTTGAATATAATACAACTTGAACTTAAGACACCTTAAATGTAAACACTACTGAGCAAATTCTTATATATCACATCTCCTACTTCCTGTTTCTTCCTATTATTCTTACCAATGCACCATATCCCTTTATGGGCTTTTTAAGAAATAGTGTAAATTATTAAAGGTGCCATATTTCAAGAGACCTAGAATACACCTGATTTCTACTATTCATTAGCATGTAATTTTAGATGCGTTTATTATTTTTTTTTTAAATGGTGAAACTCTCAAAGACTAAAAATTTCTTAGCTTAGGCCAAGTGCAATACTGAAATTTGTGTTCAATAACCTTAGCTTCTTCATTTTGCATCTGTTTTCCATATTCTGTATATTCTCTTTTCCCCACAGGTACCCTTGGGTCTCCCCAAGCTACCTTTAACAAAAGGATATGACATCAGTCAATTTAAGTCAATGGGCTATCTTCCCAGGCATATTTTACTTAAAGCTGTATCTTTAATTATGGAGGATCTTACTACTTACTACCTTGCTAATGGTAGTTGGTTATCAGTATAGTTGGGGAGGGGGTACAAGTTTCCAACTGGGAAAGTTTTCCCCTGGTGCCATGGGACTACAATGTATACACTTACTGAGTATACATAATGCCCACACTTATGAAAGGCAATGCTGACTGAGACCTGGTGTTTGTATGATTGTCTTGCCTTTCCCTAGAAGTATTTTAAAGTGAAGATAAAAGAAACAAAAAAGGATAATATCTTAGTTTAGTAAACTAAATACTTCTGTTTAGGTATTCTATTTTTTTAAAGACGTAACAATTGATTTCATATTACAGCAGCTCAGGATGTCTCAATATTTAAATTAAAAAATGCACTAATAAAGAGGCAATTTAATATGCAATTTCATACATTAATAATTGGGAAAGCATTACTGAACTGCAAGGTAAAAAGCTATGGGAACATAACTAATGAATTATCAAAGCCAAAGTAGACTTCATAATAAAACAAGACTTTAATAAATCTTTTATTAAATGGCTACAAATGAACCATTTTGTTAACGTCTAATAGGTAACTACTAAGCTACTTAATTCGCATATATAAATGAGGAACTTGCAGCCAATTAACTTTACAATTGCTGAAGGTCAGGGCTTCTCAGTGAGAGTTCCTGTACTACACCTTTAAGTGCTGCTGCTATACTGGGTCAATTCTAAGCTTTTCTTCAGCTGCTCTGTATTCTTGTAGCAGCTATTATTAAACACTAAAGCAGCTGAAATACAAAATAAACAAAGGACAAGCTATAGGCTATCAAATGCCCTAAAAGTGAATGATCCAAAGTATAAGAAATAGTGAGCTCAAATAAAAGGAATTTTCAGGAAAATTGTAAGCAAGTATTTGGTATTATATATAGGCACTAATTGTAAGTAATAGAAAATGATGAGATAATAAGAATATGTTTTAAACTACAAATGCTTATTTGGCTCTTGATGTGAATCTAGGAGATCTGAAAGTCACAGGAGATTATAGAAGAGAACTGCTCTATTTACTGAGTAGAAATGTACAGTCCACAACAGTATTGATTGTCTCCAACAGGAACAAATGTTAAATTCATTAGAGAAAGGAAATAAATATTTTTATGGAAGCAAGAAACTGGGGAAAAATGCTTTCTAATAAATCAAAATGAAAGCTATACTGAAACATACAGGACAGGGTACAAAATCTTTTCTACCTTTTCTACCAATTCACATAAAGTCTACAAATGATTGAGATTTTCACAGATTATTACAGGCCATTTTGTAACCAACTGTTATCAATGTGTGCTGAAAAGAGAAAAGGGAGGAGACAGAAAAAAAATCCAGATTCTTATTTACACATAACTGAATCTCATACTTTATAGCTTATAACCTTATATGACAGTTTCAGGAAAATGAGAATTAGTAAAATGAGTATACATAAATTGAAATAATTTCCAAAGATGAAACTATACACTAGATTAAAAAAATAGTACAAGGCAGACACAAGTCTGGATAAAGTTGTTAATATAGCTGAAACTGAGCCTGAGAATCATACTCAATAGGGAACCTTAACTAAAAAAGGAAAAAATCAATGATAAATAAGACTGGTTCTTCACCTCAAGAGTTCCAACCAAGTGAGACTATTAAAGAAACCACAGCAGTACTATGTCGGTACAGTGTGAGATTTTCACATCGCTGCTTAGGTTGACTCACTGAGTAGCTGCAAATTGATATACTATTTCTTTTGATTAGCAACACTATAAGAGGTGAACACTGGATAACAAGAAAACAACAAATCTGTACTACATATTAAGATGTGTTAGCATGATACACAATTTTTAGATTCATTATTCTTTATACTTATCAGTGAGATCATATCACCTGATTTTCTTCCTAGGTCAATTTGTGAAACTATATAATGTAATCTCATTGATGGTTCATTAATGGTATTACTTTGAAATGGAAGAAAATCTCAGGAACTCCTCACACTGGGAGTGATTTCTTATATGGTCTGAATACAGAAAAACCAGCTATAATTTCACATAAGGCTACAGTGGATTTTTTCTTCTAACCAAGTACTTTCTTTCCGCCCATCAATCAAAATTAGTTAGTGTAATATGGGGAATAACAAGGACACAGCTTATCTTTCTCAAAATTTTCTAACTCTCTTCACTAGGAGATACAGCTTCAAGGAATGCTAACTCTATTGACAGTTTTTGAGGCTTTTGTGCTATATATAACATCACTAAAATCAAACACATTTCTGATGATTTAATGTGACATATTTCATAAATATTTGTCAAAACAATTATTGTCAACTACAATGTAATTATCCATATTCAATTTGATGACTCAACTGGAAAATTACTTTTTTCCTAATAAAATTTTTCCAAATAACAATAGTGAATCAGTGTTGATTACTTGTTCAGTGTGTGCTAATTAATGACACTGGGTAAATTTAGCTCTGTGTGTTAATAAAGTCAGGAAAAAAAAAACCTGTATACATGACTCAGTCTTAAGTGAAGAGAAATCTTCTGTTTGCCTACTTTTCCTGTTCTTTCTCTAATTTGTCCCAGAAGAATGTTCAATAATATAAAATAAACAATAAAATTCAACTACTCTTGGCTGACACTACAGATAACAAGATAAGAGTTCTCTAGAACCTTGTTTTTAGGTCAAGAGTAAAAGAAAAGACAAAAAGATTTTTATTGTTGACAACTAACTATGAGGACCTCCTGCCAGCTCATCCTCAGGGCAGAATGGGTTTAGATCATATATCCAATGGCAAGAAATATCGATTTATTCATTGTGAGGCAGTGTCTTCATCCTGAAGTTCATTTAAATGCTGAAGTTAGCCAGAGGCTCTCCAGGGCAGGGCATTTGGGGAGATATTCTCTCAAGGGATCCAGAATGTTCCATTTCTGGCTTTTATATGCTTATAATTCTTTTTCTCTGAGCCTAATGGAAGCTTAGGGAAGGGAAGAAATAAAGAAAAACAGAAATGATAGGGGAACCTTGCTGCAAAGCTGCCAATGGAAGACCAATAAGGCAAGACACCACTCAGCACATGTGCAGATCATAATTTAAAGGAGATGCTGACAGTCGAGGTTCTGTCTAGAGAAAGAAGGTGAACGTGTATGTATGAGGAGATACTTAATAATGAAGTGGATTAGCTCAAAATAGCGTTTACTGATCTATACTTTTTTTTAAGTAAGCAGATGACCACCTGCGAGCCAGCCTTTGCTAGACATAACTTAAACACCTCACTGAAACACCAATGAGTACCCAGAGAAGGACCATTAAGCTGGTGAAGCTACTGAAAAACTGAGAGAAGCCCTTGGGCCACAGTCTAGCTATGGGGGCAAAATTGTTTTGCACAGTTCCAGGTTACACCCAGAGGATGGACATTTCAGGGACAGAGATTTCAATTCATTATAAGGAGGAATTTCCTAATAGAACTAAGAAGGAATGGAGCGTCTTAGGAAGCAAGGCTGGAAGGAGCTTTAGAGAGTAGGTCCCATCTCTCTCATGTTGCAAGAAACTAAAATATCCTTAACAAAGGTCATCTGACTTGTCCTTAAGTATTTTACTTGGGACTCCACTATGCTTTTGATGTAATAGACAAAGTACAGTCTCAGATGGTACAGAAGTCTAGAACCAATTAGATACTAGACATGTTCATTGAATGGGGGTGAGAATCACATTTTATAACTCCATCCCTTTCTCCACATGCCTGATAATTTGTAGATAAGGAAAAAAAAACAGTAGTAAGGAAAAGTTTCACTGAAGAAATGTTTTCTCGTCTCCTGTAGGGAAGAAAAATGTGTGAAAAGAGTGGGCAAGCTCACTAACCCAGCAACTAAAAATTACCACCAATCTGGAACTGGTCGTAGAGCAGACAAAACACAGAGTATAGAAGTGTAGTAAACTTTTCTTCTGAGAAAAGGGTTGAACTAGTTTATTTTACAATTTTAGATGTTTTAAAGAACATGGTTTGTTGAATAGCACAGAATATGCATTCTCTGTGCAGGTGCATCCTGTGGTCCTAATAATCAAAGGGTTGCAAGCCTCACATTCAGGAGTTACCTGCTTTCCAGTGGTACATTACTGCCAAGGACCCAGCTGTCCTGCAGCTGGACGGACTCGGGTGTGGTTTGCAGCTCGGCGGGCAAAGCAGCCGGCGGGGCCGGACTCTGGTTCCTTCTATTGGTCAGGGAGTTTCTGTTGAGAGAAGTGATGGATGGATGATGCTGTGCAGAGTGCTGCTTGTGGGAAGGTGGCAAAGGCTGCAGGGTAGACTGGCCTTGATTGTTTGCAGGTTGCTCTGAAAGAAAAAAAAAAAGAAAACTCATTATATACATGTATGTGTATATACATATCTATATATACTACCAATTTCTTGGGAATCTACTGCAGAGGAATTAGAATTAAAAACTGCATATAAATCTATAATCTAATAAATTTGCATATTATTCTATTAGGCGGGTGTTCAGTGACATTCTCTAAGAGCAAGTTTACCCTTGATACACAAAGTTCTAATTAATATACAACAGATGGCAAAATTGCTTTTGGTTTTAATTTGTTTCAGATTTTTTTTTTCATCTGGTTTTATTAACACCTACAGAAAACAGCATCTGACAGCTCCCCTAATGTGCCTTTAGATTTCAGCTTTTTTTAACAAACCAACCCTGAAATTAAATGGGTAATTTCAGTAGAACACAAAGGTTTTCGAAATGCATATAATCCCTATAATTATTTAATGGAGTTTTTTTAAGCTTTATTTAACTGCAATAAATTATTACAAGCTAGTTACTAAACAGCAGTAGACTACTCTAGTTTAGTGCATTTCAAATAAGGCAGATCTGCACTATGATCTACTAATAGATGCTAAGTATTCTTTAGCAGAAGGTCACTCTGTGAAGCAGATGTTGTTTCATGGATACTTAACAGACTGAATCACATCTGATTACGACGTCAGAAGACTCATATACTTAATGACCGTTACATCCATTAGAACACACACAGAACAGATTTTCCAATTTCACAGTATGCAGTATAACTACATTTTGGAGTAAGTCATAGGTGACCAGAGAGACGCATGCCACTATGTCAGTGGTACAAATTTTTTGTTTTAAATCGGAGTCATAAAGAATCCAGCAACTTCAAAATATTAACATGATGCTGTGTTGTAACTACTGAAAAATTCCCTAAAGCTAATAAGTCATAAGTTAAAATTTACAAATTAATGTAACATCTGAGACCTATTTTTCAATCTCATTACCTCACTTTGGACATGCTAGAATTTATGAAGACTACATTTCACCAAACAGATAGATGACCCCTTAATTTAATGCTAAACTTATTATGGTTCAACACACATAAGATGTCAATTTTCTAATAAATGCAGTTCAAAATGCAATATAATTTTAAAGTGATCTATTAAATCATGCTATTAATATAAATGCATGTATTAAAGGAGAATAGGAAACACAGGGACTATCTTTCATTTACAATGTGAACTGTAGTAGTGATTGTTAAGCCAAATAACATAGTCTAACATTGTAATTCTGGTTGCATGAAACGAATACAGAGCATATAATTGAATGTATATTATCAAACCTCTTTACACGGTATAATGATAAAAATAACTCCTCCCATAGTATATAACATCAGTAATTATGGCATGTTTCTAATGGTCTCTAATAATCCATATCATAATTTAACAACTAATAATTTCTCACTCTTGAAATTAGATAATACCTAAACATATGAAAATATTGCTACTTCCTTGCAGCTTCTGGTATGGAAAACTTCAAGAATAGAGACTCTCTTTTCTTTAACAGAAAAAGACTCTATTATTCAATAGAAAAAGCCTCTATTCTTGAAGTTCCCCATACTAGAAACTGCAGAAATCCTCCTTAGTACAATGCTTCAGTGATCATGAAAAATTATGAATGTCTAAATCTCAGTTAGATTGAAATAAGCTTTTGAGGAAATCGCAGGGTTAAAATAGCACATATAGTAGTAATTGTGTTAGAAAAAAAGAAACTAACAGTTTAAAATTCATGAAAGACTTATTATTCAGGTATCATATAATTAATTGGCATTGTCTTCTGAGCATCTGTGCATATGATTAGAATCTCTATGGATATCTTTAAGGGACATTGTAAGAAGCTGCTTATAGCTTAACAGAGCAAGTTGCAGTTATGTGAGCCTAGAATACGTTAGTATCAATGGAATGGAAACAAAGAAAGAAAAGGGAAAAATACTTCAAAGAAAAAAGTAACAAGACTATACCTAAAAAGAAACAGAGCAATGGGGTCGGATGACCCCATGTTTTTAAGGTTGGTACTATGAATGAATAGGATTACACTTTACATATACTATATAGAAGAAATTACATATTAGATATTATATAATGTAGAGGCAAGAGCAGCATATTAGAAGTCAGAATACCAAATTTAAGTCTGACTCTGTCAGGCATGATGCTAGTGAGCCTCAGTTTTCTCCTGTGTAATGTAAGAAATATTATGGCCAAATCTAGGTCTTACTGCAAGTCTATGGATTCAGTGAAATCCACTCACTCACTCACTCACTCACTCACTCACTCACTCATTCATTCATTCATTCATTCATTCATTCATTCATTCATTCATTCATTCATGCACTTAGCCATTCATCCCACATTTATCTAGATTCTATGTTCTAGGGATATGCTAAGTCAACAACAGGCAAAAGCATGTGTAAATGGTAAAATAAAGCATTATGGACATTAAGATTTTTATTGAAAGTTAAATGATTTTAAGATCAATTATCATCACATTTCAATTGAATTTAAAATTCTTATTCTTAAATCAAAGCATAGCCTATGGGAAAACCTTCCATTAAGGTTTCAGAAATGTGCTGCTGTGGCTTTCCCTAGATTCACTCTTGCATTTTGCAAGTATTTATTGAGGACTCATAAAGTACAAGACACCATATGAAGATTCATGCTCTTTCCAGTGGCCTACATAAGCTAGTGCAGCAGTGGGCTCTGCCTCCTGGAACCTCTTTTGACTTGACTACACAATCAGGAGACCTACAAATAAAACAAATTTAGATGATGAAAGCTAGGTTCAATCTAAAATTTGATGAAACAGAAAAAGTGCAGAGTCTGAGTGAGACAGTGTGGGTGGTCAGAAATTTAAATTCTGCAGCAGACTACAAACAGAAGAAAAAATTCTGTAAGGGTCAATGCTAGTTCTAGAGATTTGGCTTATAGGACATAAGAAATAGCTGCAGTATCTATGTATCTATGCCAACTTATTTAAGATATGATAGGTATTAAAGTATAACAAGATAATATATACTTATAAGACAGAAAAAAGAGGCTAATGTAAAAATCAGAGCTCACAGGCCAGTTTATATGATTCCCAATAAATCATAAAAGGATTAAAAAAAAAAGATAATATAAGGTTAAACCCTGCCAGAAACAAAGCTAGAATAAAAGAAAAATAAAATTTGGAAAGGTAAGATAAAGCCAGATTTAAGGTTAGTAGACAAAATGCCTTCTGTAGAGCTGTATACATTTTTAAAGAGGGATACAAATCTGGCTCTAAATAATCTAGTTGCCAACACAAAAAGGGAAACATGATCAGTTGTATGATTTGGAGTATTTTTAAGATCAAAACGTTTGCTTATGAAAACATAATTATTACTGGCACTGAGAATAGAGAGAAAAATTCTCTTTTTAAGTCTTCACACGAAGAACTTAATATCCAGAGAAATTTTTATGAATAAGGTTCAAAATTGACACAGGAAAAAGAGAACAGTGTCTAGACTTGGACATGATGAAAGTGTTTAAGAATCTAATACAAGTGGGCAGATCCAGGCAAGAACAACCAGAACAGCAACTGTAGTCTTTGCTTTAAACTAATCCATTGACACAAGCTTTGTATAGACTGGAAAAAAAGTTTTGAATATAATGACTTTGGGTTATAGATGGGACAGTCGGCCCTCACATAGTCACCAGGTTTAAAAAATGCTCCTGCAACATAGCTTTGAACATGTCATTTTACTTCTGGAGAACTCCAAGTGGCTTCCTAGTGCCTATCAAACATAAAATGAACTCTAAACGTGAATGTTATATTTGGTCACAGATAGCCCAAAATAAACCTTTGCAAACTCTCGCTCATGCACCCTCTTCATATATTCCTTGTTCTAGTAAAGTTGGTTGTATCCACTCCACTATACATCCCATACCTTCCCACTTAAGCACAGCGGCTTCTAGCCGGAAAGATATTTCCTTCATCTTTTGATATCCAAATCCTACTTACTTGAAGCTCTAACAAAGATAACACGACACTGTTTTCTTCAGGTATAAATCATTTACCTCTTCTCTGAGTCTTCTTAAGAGCATTTTATCTGTTCTCTTTTTATGGCCCTATTCACTTTTCCCTGGGTAATACAGTTAATTTCGTGGGTCTCAGGTCCCCTGCTAAACTCTGAGTGGGCAGGATCCACCTCTAGTTCACCTCTGAGCTCCTCTGGGCTGCACAAGGATAGATACTCGATAAACACTTGTTTCATGAATGACGACTTGTGAAGACTTCAGTGGGAGAGTGTGACAGTGGTAAAAAGGGAAGCCTACCCATCCATATTGCCTCTTAGTGTAAGGGAATTTGCAAACATGTCTGATTTTCTCAATTAAATTCTCAGATCTTGAAGGGCAAGACTCTAACTTTAATTTCTTCGGATTTTTTTGTAACTTCACCTAGCGCTATACTCCAAGGACTCCTAACAATGTGCTGATTGATTGATGATGTTTATGTAATAATAGCACCTTGAGGGGTCATCTCTTTCAGGCCAGGTGCCATGTCATTCACCCTGAAGACTGGTTTTTAGGATTATTTCTTTGGAACTGTAGCAAATGTTCTCATATTTAAAATATAACTTTTAAAATGTGCAAATAATGAAAAGATTATATAAAACATATGAGAACATATAAAATATAAACACATAAGACATGAAATAATATATTCTATAAAATATATTATATTATTATAAATTATATTTTACCAAACACAGTATGCTTTCCTTGTATTTTAAAGCTTACAATTAGAAATACTCCTAATTTGATATTTTAGAAATGGTACAGTTATTTTTTCAAAAATTTTCTTCTCTACCTTTAACATAAAATTCTTGGCACCATGCTTATTAGAAATTACATATTACACCAAACCAGTGCCTTTGCTCAGTTCACTTTCTTTCTGCCTTTCTTTTTCCAAGGTCCTACTGTTTATACAACTTTAATGAAAGCCCAGTAGTTGTTCATTTTTATTTAAT